GGAATTTAAAAAGAGGCATGGTGAGTATTTTGCAGATCTAATTTTTTCTCACAAGTTTTGAAATATAAAAAAAATAGAAAAATGTTTTTGGTTTTTTTTCTTCATTTTCTAAAAACTTGTGGCAACAAATGAGATCTGCAAAATACTTACCATGCTTCTTATAAAATTCCTTGGGGTGTCTACTTTCCAAAAAGGGGTCATTTGGGGGGGTTAGGTGCTATCCTGGCATTTCAGAGCCTCCAAAACTGTGATAGGTAGTCAGGAAGTGTAATGAGGACATAAAGCCTTTAAAAGCCTGAAGGTGCTTTTTGGATTTTGGGGTCCTGTACTTGGCTAGACTGCCAAACCGTCTCTCACATGTGGTACCCCCATACTCAGGAGAAGTAGCAGAATGTATTTTGGGGAGTAATTCCACATATACCCATGGCTTGTGTGAGCAGTAAATCATTTAAGTGACAATTTTGTGTAAAAAAAAAAAAAAAAAAAAAAAAAAAAAAATTTTTTTGTTTGTCATTTTCCAAAAACTTGTGGTAAAAAAATAAATTCTTCTATTGATTCAACATGCCTCTCAGCAAATAGTTTGGGGTGTCTACTTTCCAAAAAGGGTCATTTTGAGGGGTGGGGGCATTTTATGCCCAGCATTAGAAGTTTATGCCACACATCACTCACTCTTCTAACCACCTGAAGACCAAGCCTTTTCTGACACTTTTTGTTCCCGTGAAAAAAATCAGACTTTTTTGCTAGGAAATTAACTTAAACCCCAAACATTATATATATATATATATATATATATATATATTTTTTTTTTTAAATCAGACACCATAATGAATAAAATGGTGGGTACTACAATTTTTTTATGGCACATAGTACTCATGCAGCGATTTATGCAGCGATTTTTCAAATGCAGTTTTTTATAAAATGCAATTTTTTTTATAAAATACACTTTTTTTACTTTTAATGCACAAAAACACAATATATTGGCCAATTATTTGGTAAAATATAAAAGATGATGGTATGCCGAGTAAATAGATACCAAACATGACATGCTTTAAAACTGTGCATGCCCTGTGCAATGGTGACAAACTGCATACGTTTTTAATATCCATAGGCAATGTTTAAAAGCCTTTACAAGCTACCATTTTAGATTTACAGAGGAGGTCTAGTGTTAGAATTACTGCCCTTGATCTGAAGTTCCTGGTGATACCTCACATGCATGGTGCAACTGCTGTTTCCATACTGTCAAAGGGTCAATGCTCATGAACGCAGGTGCGCGCATGGGTGGGGGCGAGGGTACTTTTTTTTTTTTGTTATTTTGATTTTTTTTTTATTATTTGTACTCTGTCCTTTTTAATTTTTTTTTATCACTTTTAATGCTACCATAGGGAATGCAAATATCCCCTATAACTTCAATGGGCATTGTCATATATTCTTTTTTGAGAAATCTGGGGTCTATCAGACTCTGGATATCTCCTCTGCCCTTACATTATCTAATCAAACCAAAATCGGTGTGATCAAATGCTTTCCCAATTTACAAATGGGGCTGTTTATATCCTGCAAAACTGAAGTGATGAAATGCTCGTAGCTTCCAAATTCTTAGGCTATAGAGATGATTGGCACCACTCTGGCCTCCAATCAGCTCTATGGTCAGCTGGCAGAAACACCGGCTGCATTCTCAGGTTCCCCCTATGGCTCGGGACTGCCCGAGAAGGCTGTGGAAGGCAGCGGGGGAGGGGCGGTATTGTCTCCTGCTGCTTGTAAAAGCCATCCTGCAGTTAATTAGCCACTAGGATTGCTTTTACATGAAAGCTGATCGCCAGCTGAAAAACATGATTGTTGGTTATATATGCTATGTTCTTTTGGTTTTTTTTTTATGCAGCCTGTGGACTGAATGGAAAAAAAGAGAAGAAATCTCTGCCAAAAAAAAGTGTGTGGGTATGCCCACCATTAGAATATACCGCCCTGCATCCACGCACTTCTAATGGTGGGCACACATTAGGTCAAACTTAGCCACAAGCGCCAGTTCCAAGATTGTACAGATGTCTAAATAGTGGCACGCTTGAATAAAAATTGTCCACGTATAAGTGGTACCCCATATGGAAAAAGGATGACACCAAGTCCCAAACTATCTTGCCACTGCTCCCCATGTAGTCTGGGCATCCGGGGGGCTCCATGTGACTATCTTTTCCCTCGTAAAACTGAAACATATAAGTATAGCCTGTTGCCCTCTCACAGGTCTTCTACATGTTGACCCCATATCTGCCACGCTTGCTGGGGAGAAATTGTTTGAATGCAAGGCGGCCAGAAAAATTAATGAGGGACTCGTCAACGCAGATTTTTTGCTGGGGAGTATAGACACCTGCAAATTTTTGATTAAGATGATTTACGAGGGGCCAAATTTTGTGGAGCCGGTCAAATTCAGGGTTACCCCGAGGATGACAGAGGGTATTGTCGTTGAAATGCATAAAACACATTATACTCTCATATCTATGCTTGGCCATGGCAGCAGAGAACACGGGGTATCATGAATCGGGTCTGTGGACCAATACAACCGCAATTCATTTCTTTTAGTAATGCCCATGTTGAGGGTTAGGCCCCCAAAAAAAGTAAATTCGGAAATCGTAATGGGTTTCCATGCGAATGGTCTGGCAAGGTTTGAATTTTGGTTGGCGGCAATAAATTGTTGTGCATACAAATTGCTTTGATCCACAATCAACACATACAGATATTCCGTGAAAAACAGCTCCAAAAATCAAGGGGAGTAGTTAAATTTGTCTATTTCCACCCGAATTCCGGGTTGGGCAGTGAACGGGGGAAGTACAAGTGCTGCAAAATTTGTGGGCTGCCAATTGGGATTTGCAAGCACATCCGGAAGGAAACTAGGAGCTCTATGGGCCTGTGTGCAAATTCTTAGTGGCTGCGGGACACTACTTGTGCTCGCCACCGCACCAGTTTGTACTGCACTTATGGGACTCGCCACGTCACCAAGTCATACTGCAGTGCTGGTATTGTTATTATTATACAGGATTTATATAGCTCCAACAGTTTGCTTAGCGCTACAATATAATGGGAGACAATACAGCAACAATACAGTTCAATACAAGAGGGTTAGGAGGGCCTGATCCTGGGAGCTTACAATCTACGAGGCTGCATATGGGAGTCATCAAAATCTACCGGCAAGTGCTAACAGAGATCAGGCCTGATTCTGCGAACACTGCGGTTTTGTGTGTAATATATCAAGTGACAGTGACCTACTGACACTGCACTTGCTGGGGGAGAAGGAGGGGGTAAGCGTAGGGGCTAAACGCAGGTGCCTTGCAGGTGTCGGGGCTGATCCCGCTAACGCTGCATTTTTGAGGATGCTATACTAACGTGAATGCTGGTATAGTGCTGATCTGATCAAAGATATTGATCCGTTTAGACACTATACTAGCAATGGAGGTGTGAGAGCGTGTTGCTGGCAATCAAGGGGTTAAATGTGATGACTGGTGTACTGATGGGCAATCTGACGCCATCTGGGAGGGGCGTGAAAACCACTGGAGCACAAAGTGTGTGTGTGTGTGTGTGTGTGTGTGTGATTTTCGCACCTGTGTCGCCCTGTAGCAGTATTTCTGCTATAGGGCGGTCAGGAAGCGGTTACAGAAGTGGTTTGTGTTACGTCGCTGCGTTACTTTAACTGACAATTGCACGGTCATGCAACACTGCACCCAAATTAAATTTACGTCCCTTTTTCCCACAAATTGAGCTTTCTTTCGGTGGTATTTGATCGCCTGTGCGTTTTTTATTTTTTGCGCTTTAAAAAAAAAAAGGCTGACAATTTTGAGAAAAAAAAAACAATATTTTCGACTTTTTGCTATAAAAAATGTCTGGTAAAAAAATTTAAAAATCACATTTTGTCATAAATTTTGGCCAAAATGCATTCTGCGACATGTCTTTGCTAAAAAAAATCCCAATACGTGTAAATGAATTGGTTTTACGTGAAAGTTATAGCGTTTACAAATGGCAGGAAAGATACTGGTATTTTTTTTTTGTTTTTATAATAATAATTGCGGCAATCAGCGACTTATGGTGGTGATCAGCGATTTATGACAGTGATTAGCGATTTATGACAGTGATTAGCGACTTATGGTGGGACTGCGGTGGACATTTTGACACTGGGGGGGAACTGATTTGGGGTGACTGACATCCCCAGTGACACCAATACAGTGATCAGTGAAAAACAAAAAGGCTGACACTGTACTAATGGCACTGGGGAGAAAGGGGTTAACTTTTTTTATTCAATGAAAGGGTTAACTGTCTGAGGGGAGTGTTTTACTAGTGGGCGGGGCGGGTTGGGGTGTGTGCTTCACTGGAACACACTGTCCTGGAAAGCTAATCTCTGCTCTCCCTGACAGTGTGTAAGGAGCTGACAGGGAGCAGAGGTGCAGTGTAAACACTGCAGCCGTGCTCTCTGTCAGTGAGTGCCGCTAATCGCCGGGAGCCGGTAGGTAATGACCCACCGGGATCCGGGGATGGACACCGCTGTCGCGATCGTCAGCGCAGGTAGGGCGGGCACGCGCCCCCTACCTGTTTTGATAGACGTCTTTTTTTTTTTTTTTTTACGTGCTCTAGCACAGTGGTGCCGCCCTGCCGCAGTATATACACTGCGGCAGGTGGTAGGCAAGTGGTTAAAGTAATGAGTAACTCCTCAGGAGGGCAAGTGGTTAAGAGCACAATCAACTATGACAGTTATCATAAAAATAAAAAACTAAAACAGTTACCACATCTGTGTGGCAATATTCTGAAATACATGACATCTTTGTTCTTGGGTTTATATACACTGCTATATTGAAGTTAGGATGGGTTGGTTGCTCAGCATCTCTATGGATGATGGGGGAGATTTCTCATCAATATGGTTAGAGTGTATATGACCATTGTGTACAGTAAAGAAAGTGATGAGGGGCGACTCTACTCTCTGTTTCATTCATTAAATTTTCACCTTTGTATCGGTTTATGTTTTAGGTGTTGCTAGAATTCTGTCTCATGAGGCTGGAATCAGTGATATAGCTGTGCTACAGGTAAAGATGTGTGTATATGTGACATTCTGATCATTGCAGTGCTTTGTGCACGATCTCTGTTATATTTGACATTTTCTCCTAGGTAATATGATATGAAGCAATTCAGCTCAGTCGTAGAAGCATCTGTAGTGAGCCCATGTCAGTCCAAACTGTACCTTTAAGGCTTGCCAGCCCACTTTTATTAAACAAAGTTAAGGAAAAGTTTGAAACAGAACAGTTATCCATGCAGGCGATTTTTCACCAGCAAATCCGGCGACTGAAAAAGGCCAAGATACCTGGCTCTCTCTTCAGCAACACTGCTGCTCTTTTCACTGGTCCCTCAGACCTTCTAATCCAGCTCTCCTGGCTCTCTGGGCTCCACTGGCTCATTCAGCTTGTAGTTACGTACCCTGCTGTATGGGCCCACTCCCTGGCCTCTCAATAGAGGATCTCCAGGCTCTCTCTCCTGCAAGAATTACAGATAATCTCAGTCCCCTGGACTCACCTTGTTGCTTCCACCCTCCCAGTCCTCCAGACTCACTCAGCAATCCTGAATCACTCATTTCTATGAGTAAGTGATCTTTCCACCAATGTGGAATGCTGCCTCCTGACTAGAGCACCTCTCCTAATGGTATTATGATTATTAATTTACAGGATTTATATAGCGCCAACAGTTTGCTCAGCGCTTTACAATATAAAAGACGATGATACAGCAACAATACAGTTCAATACAAAAGGGTTAGGGGGGCCCTGCTCCTTGGAGCTTAAAATCTAAGAGGGAGGGGCTAGTGGTACAAAAGGTAGTAACTGTGGGGGATGGACTGGTAGGAGGAGTAGAAGATTCCATTATTAGCTGAGGGTAGGATAGGCTTCCCTGAAGAGGTTTTCAGAGATCGCCTAAAAGTGAGCAGAGTAGGCGTTAGTCTGATAAATTGGGGTAGAGAGTTGCAGAGGATGGGGGAAGCTCTGGAGAAGTCCTGGAGACAAGCCTGGGAGGAGGAGACAAGGGAGCTAGAGAGCAGGAGGCTGTGTGAGGAGCGGAGAGTACGGTTTGGGTGATATTTGGAGACAAGATCGGTGATGTAATTTGGGGCAGAGTTATAAATGGCTTTATATGTTGTTGTTAATGTTTTGAATTTTATCTGTTGGGCAATGGGAAGCCAGTGGAGGGATTGGCAGAGAGGGGTGGCAGATACAGAACTGTTAGTAAGGTGGATGATTCTGGCAGCAGCATTCATGATAGACTGAAGAGGGGATAGCCTGCGATTAGGTAGGCCAATGAGGAGGGAGTTACAATAGTCAAGGCGAGAGATAACAAGGGAGTGAATAAATTGCTTAGTAGTTTCCGAGGTTAAAAACAGGCATATCTTGAAGATGTTGCAGAGGTGAAGTCTACAAGATTTGGACAGCGATTGGATTTGGAGCTAAAAGGATAGATGGGAGTCTAGGATTACACCTAGTACCCTGGCCTGAAGGGAGGGACTGATGGTTATATTATTGGTCTTGATGGAGAAGTCAGTATGCCTGTCTCCTGGATGACTCCTCATGGAAGCCCTGAGCTATGGCCCGGCCTTTCTTATAACAAATGTGCTTACCTGCACCCTCAGCATGATTGTCTCCAATACGTTCTGGAAATGGGATTGAAGACTTCTTCCCACCCAAATCTCTTCAGTCTCCAAGCTACAGACCCTGATCCTCTGGGACACAATACCCTGGAGCTCTGCACTTTGCATTAGTACGAACCTTGTATCATTTTTCCTATACTCACACAATGGCAGGGCCTAGCATTGTCAACGAAGTTAGCTATTAGGAAGGAAAATTAAATAGATTGTGTGGATAAAACAAAACATGAGCTGCTGGATGTGCTGAAAATGATTAAATGTAATTACATTATCTGCAATTACTCTTCAGGGTTTGGATCCCTTTAACAAAATATAGAGTATTGAGAGTGGTTCAATTCTAATCTGATTACTGGATCTCCATGGTTGTGGTTTGGGGTAAGCTTGCGTTTGTTTGGAACCAAGTTGGTGTTAGAATCCAAAAACCATCTGGTCAAGTAATTTTTTTGGTTGATTCCCAATGCTACAGCTAACATTACAAAGGGGCAGGGATGCTTGTGACATTGACCTAATATGGCCTCACCAACCTAATATTGCCATGTGGCCATATTAAGTCAGCGATGTCACAAGCACCCCTACCGCTTTGTTACATCAGCTGCTGGGTAGGGAATCCCCCATCTACAGCCCATTGGACCAGGAATAACATTTGGCTTCTGTGTTCGGAAACCAAACCTGATTCCAAACAAATGCAAGCTCATCATTAGTTGTCCATATAGGCAATGGTGTCACCTAACCTACTCAAACCAAAATGAAAAAAGTTTTGACTTTTGATATAATTTAGGTCTAAAATCATTATTTGCAGATTTGCTGAACATTTGTGGAGTGTGATGGGTCCTCTTTAGAAACCAATGGGAATAAGTGATAAATTCAATGACAAGACATAACTTTGGCCAACTGGATGAAATATTTATTTTATTTTAAATGATGGGAATGAACGCCATTGTAAGCATATCTGGCAATGTTACTGTCCCAACCTTGCTTCTTTTAGACAGCTTGGTTTTATATAAATGTGGAGGAAAATATAGAGGTTATAAAAAAAAAAGAATCTGTGTACTGAGTACTATTTCATGTATAAACCATTTTATATCTGTCTGAATACACTATTTTAATTTAAAAAATGTTCAAACATAAATAATTATCAAGAAAGCCCACCTATGAATGTTTTCCAGGCAGCTCTGCTACACGATACAGTGGAAGATACAGACACCACGTTCCTGGAAATCGAGGAGAAGTTTGGACAGGAGGTCAGAAAGATTGTGGAGGAGGTGACAGATGATAAGACCTTACCAAAGATGAAGAGGAAGCAGCTGCAGATTGAGCATGCACCCCATCGCAGTCACAAGGCCAAGCTGGTCAAACTAGCCGATAAATTGTACAACCTGCGAGACCTGAACCGAAGCACTCCAAATGGTAGGTATTGCTTATACAGAAATTTACAGCTTTACGCAGTGATAAAGGTTGCTGCATTCATTTCTTAAAATTCTCTGGCTGAGGATGTTTGTACAGAACACTCAGATCTGGACAATCTTGTCTGTGATCAACAAAACTTTAAATGAGAGAAGCTGCCATTGCAGAACTCCTGAAGAGCTTATCTACATGGCTTGCTCTGCCTTCAGTACTGTCTAAATCACTGATTCAAGTAGTGATTGAACCTGGACTAAGTAGCACAGACCTAAAAACACTGTAAGTAGAACTCTTATGACCACCATATATCTCCTTCCAGTGACAGTCTCTTTATTCTCCTGATGGAGTTTTTGGGGGGGTTTTTTGCAATTTTTTTAATATCTGATTGTGCACCTACTGCTTCAACTAATGGCACAATGTGCCAGCAGTGGAATGTCCCTTGGTGTCCTTACGTCCAGTGCAGTTCTATGGACCCTGTTTTGATCTTACTGAGGTCATGACCTTAAACCCCTAGACATGGGGATGCTGCAGGGTCTAGCAGCGTAAATGATCGGGTAAGTAAATCTACTTTCTCATGCTCCCTAGATCTAAATGGACAGTTAACTTTTATGAATGTAGCCCCACTGCAAGTGAGGATTTTCAAGTTCCTGGAGTTGTAAAAACAGCTGACAGGCAGGGTTTTATACCCAAAAAAGACTAGTAGTCTTTTCTGTCATAAATGCCTCCCCCCAGCTGTCAGCGGTAATGTGATCTGAGCCACATATGCACAGCTCAGATCACATTTACAGCACCTGGTGTGTGCTGTGGTGACATGACTCCTATGTGCATGCGTGGGAGAGCCATTTTCATGGCCCAGCTATTCAAATGGCTGAGATAAAACCGAGAAGGAGGACAAGTTGAAAATGGATGCCCTCAAGACCCGGGTGATTGGTGACAGCGCAGCGATTGAGGGCTCTGTTTTACAGGTAAGTCCATTTTTAAAGTGTTTTCTTTTTTTTTGGCAAAGTCTATTACCGCTTTAATGGAAATAACAAATTACTAATGGACATTTTATTGGTATGTGAAAAAAGGCTCAGCCACTTGGAAAGCAAAAAAGTAAGCAGGTTGAAAAGGTTAAAGTCTCATGAAAAACTCTTCCAGGGTATATGCTCTACAAATGCTTCAACTCTCCTTCTATTCCTGGACATAGGCAGCTCCAGGGAAAAAAAGTGCTTTGTGTGGGACTACAAACTGATGGAATCCAAAGTTGGGGAATTTGTTTTTTCAGCATAGTCACTTCACCACTTGCTAATCAAATGCATTTTATGGAATTACTCCTTTAATACCAACATAACAGGTCCTATAAAAATGTTATCCTTCTTACACTGTATCTACACATTTCTCTCTTGTAGGGTGGTCAGAGCGACGAGTCCAAGAATATTTCCAATGGGCTTTCAAAGTAGTAAATGGTGTACGAGGCACAAACACAGCCATGGAGCAAAGCCTGGATCAGCTATTTAGAGACAGGGGAGTCAGTGCCTAAATCCACAGAAAAGACTATTAAAATGTAGATGTGTCATAAGAGGAGCCAGAATGGCAGTAGATTTGGCTCTTTCCAGTGCCTACTCCTGAGTGAGCTTGCTCGCCGCCTTAGTAATATTTATTTTAAAACTCTGTTGATTGTAAACGAAAGGTTGTACAAAATTACAAAAATATATTATTCCAGTGTGTACATGTGCATAGGACAAAAAGAATGTACATTGCCAAAAAGATAAAACTATAAGTATGAACATTGTCAGTCTTTATTGAAATATTTAAATACAGTCAACAAGTGATTGAAGGCACTCTCCAAGCTAAACGTATAGTACACTTAAAAGGTCTCCTAAAGTTCCAGAGTTTATGAAATTGGAAAGGGTCCATTTCTCCTTCTGTACATGACTGTGACATATGGGATAATCTGCTTTATTAATGGTTTCCACTGGGACACGCTATGGGGGGATGGGTTCATGCATTTAATAGCTATAGAATTATGAACCATAAAAGTTCCTGTAGAAATATATTTTGGTAGTTTGGCCAACTTTGTTCATCTAGTATTTCAGAAGTACACAAAACAGGGAGACTTGGAAGATTGGTGAGGAACACAATGGCTTCCAAAAAAAATCAGCTTTAACTGGGCTACTCTAAATGAGGTGCAAAAAAATCAGTTTTAGGGTGAGTACAGTTCATGCAATAAGGGTTATCCATGTGTTTTATGAAGAAGAAAAAACGGGGATACGCAGATCTGATGAATAATATACCGTTGGGTCAGCTGGTTGTTAACTAATGATACATACATATGAAAGGAACTTGTCATCCTGATCCTTCTCTGTCAGGGTAGGCATAACAATTGCCTACCCTGACAGTTGTGAATAATTAATAAATTGTTTACTGGGGAATGGGTATTTTATTGAGCTCAATGTGTTAAAGTGGAACTTCACCGAAAATGGGAAGCTCTGCTAGTTTTGATAGGTACCCGTTGCCTTTTCACCCCCCCCCCTCCCTTTTTGGCAGCCTTCTGAGATGTGTCAGAGGTCCTAGGAGGCAGATGGACCATTCACAGTGTGCCTCCCAAATGCACAGTAGGGAGCAGGCTGTGAAGCCACAAGGTGTCACAACTGGCTTCCCACACAGTGCCAAAGACCTGAAGGCCAGAGAAGAGCTGGCTGCAGTGAGGACGGTGCTGGTTCCTTGGACAGGTAAGTGTTCTTTTATTAAAGTCAACACTGACAGTGTTTTTAGCTGTTGACTTTTATTTTTTTTCCATCTAGGGCACGGGTAGCAAGAGATGATAGATAATGTTTATGTCCAATTGGCAAATAACTTTTTTTTTGTGGCAGATTTCAAGTGAATAAAAATTGGAATGCCTAATATAAATCCTGTAAATACTTGCCTCTCATGCAACTACACCACCACACACTGCTCTAATGAAGAGGAACCATCTGCAGAAATCTCTTTAAAAAACTGACGCCGCAGGGGAGTGTTGATTTCCCAACTCAGGCAGTTGTTCCTCCTGCCCACTCCTAAATCTCTACTGTGTTTTGTAGTAAAGTCAGGGTCAGCAGAAAGAACTACTGAGCATGGCGGAGGAAATTAATATTCCCAGAAGTGTTGATATCTGAAGTGATTTCAGAGTGCAAATAATCTTCAGTGAAGCAGCATTTCATTGGTGAGAGCAGTAGGAGAGGTAATTTTTTTTGCAGGTGCATTTGTTAGTCCAGCTTTTCATTACCACTTGCCCTCCTGAGGATTTACCCCCCCTTCCTGACCAGGCCTTTTTTTGCTGTTTGGCGCTGTACTACTTCAACTGACGATTGCGCGGTCATGCAATGCTGTACATAAATTAAATTTGTGTCCTTTTTTTTTCACACAAATAGAGCTTTCTTTCGGTGATATTTGATCACCTGTACGCTTTTATTTTTTTGCACTATAAACAAAAGAACCCCAAAAATTTTGAAAAAACAAACAATATTTTCTCACTTCTGTCATAAAAAATATCCAAAAACCTTTAATTTCGTCATAAATTTAGGCCAAAATGTATTCTGCTACATGTTTTTGGTAAAACAAATCCCAATAAGTGTACATTAATTGCTTTGTGTGAAAGGTATAGCGTCTACAAACTATGGTATAGATAATTTGAAATTTACACAACTTTTACTTTCTGACTGCCCATTACATTTCTTGAGGTGCTAAAATACCAGGATAGAACAAACACCCCCAAATTACCCCTTTTTGGAAAGTAGACACCCTAAGCTATCTGCTGAGAGGCATATTGAGTCCATGAAAGATTTATTTTTTTTCACAACTTTTTGGAAATTGACAAAAAAACAGTTTCGTTTGTTTTTTTTTTTTACACAAAGTTGTCACTTAAATGATATATTGCTCACAAAAGCCATGGGTATATGTGGAATTACACACCAAAATACATTCCGCTGCTTCTACTGAGTATGGGGGGATACCACATGTGTGAGACTTTTTGGAGTGGAGCCCAGCAACATACAGGAGCCTGAAATCCAATGACCAATTTGAAAGCCTGAAGGTGCGTAACTTCTTCATTTCACTTCCTCACTACCTATCACAGTTTCGGAGGTCCTGAAATGCCAGAATAGCACCAACCCCCCCCCCCCCCCCAAACGACCCCTTTTTGGAAAGTAGACACTCCGAGGAATTTAAAAAGAGGCATGGTAAGTATTTTGCAGATCTAATTTTTTCTCACAAGGTTTTGAAATAAAAAAAAATAAAAAATATATTTTTTGTTTTCTTTCTTCATTTTCCAAAAACTTGTGGCAACAAACGAGATCTACAAAATGCTCATCAATCCAAAAATTGGTAATTTGAGGGGGTTTGGTGCTATTTTGGCATTCCAGGGCCTCCGGAACTGTGATAGGTAGTCAGGAAGTGTAAATGAGGAAATAAAGCCCTTTTAAAAGCCTGAAGGTGCTTATTGGATTTTGGGATCCTGTGGCAACAAATGAGATCTGCAAAATACTTACCATGCTTCTTATCAAATTCCTTGGGTGTCTACTTTCTCAAAAAGGGGTCATTTGGGGGGGTTTAGGTGCTATTCTGGCATTTCAGAGCCTCCAAAACTGTGATAGGTAGTCAGGAAGTGTAATGAGGAAAATAAAGCCTTTAAAAGCCTGAAGGTGCTTATTGGATTTTGGGATCCTGTACTTGGCTAGACTGCCAAAAAATGTCTCTCACATGTGGTACCCCCATACTCGGGAGAAGTAGCAGCAGAATGTATTTTGGGGAGTAATTCCACATATACATATGGCATGTGTGAGCAATAAATTATTTAATGACAATTTTGTGTAATTTTTTCTTTTCTTTTTTTTTGTCATTTTCCAAAAAACTTGTGGTAAAAAAATAAATTCTTCTATTGACTCAACATGCCCAGCATTAGAAGTTTATGCCACACACCACTCACTCTTCTAACCACCTGAAGACCAAGCCTTTTCTGAAAACTTTTTGTTCACATTAAAAAAAATGTGTATTTTTGCTAGGAAATTAAATATATATATAAATATATTATATTTTTTTTTAGAGCAGACACCCT